CCAACCAAGATTTAAGGAATAGTGGCGCATGCGTGGTGCGTGCGGGGCGCATTCATTACTTTACAAAGGCGCGTATTTATGTTAGCCGTTTTTTTACAAACTTTTATTATATTATTGAATTTTAATAAACGCGTTTGTACATTTTATGTATGTTATATATTCACGATATTTATAGGTAGGCAAAGCCTTTTCGTCTATATGGACTGCACGCCACTGATATGAATACCTATTTAGGAAAAAATAACACTTACTGCGATACTCATAGATATTTTATGATTACTTAAACAATTCCTTAGTAACAATTTTGTTCCGAAATTGCGAGAACAATTGGTAAGGACTGGGGTAAGTAGCCATTAAATTACTGTGAGTACGGCGGTTATTGTAACTTTCGTAAATTATTATATCAATAAAAATCTGTACATACCTTTAGGCAATTCGTACTGGTCTCTAAAAAATGCAAATATATCAGGTTCATCCTTTTTCAAAGGTAACACTTTGGTGCTCATCATTGCTTCCAAGACATGACTCTTGACTTGTGATCCTGACCTTTTCTCCCTAAACCCATTTTCGTCACAGTAACCTCTGCATTCTCTTGGCACCGCATACTCTTCTTCCTCAACAGTCACATATTCTTCATAATTATATACAGAACTTGAACTATTATGTAAGAAATAAAAAAATATTAAAAATAAAATATTATTTTTCATTTTGTCGCCTATATTGCGAAGTAACACTGTTCTTGGCCGTGATCAAGATCATTCTGAGGTTGGCTTGCGATTTAGTTGTTTGCATTAACCGGTTTAACAGTTAAAGCTATTATTTCATTTTATTAGAATTTAATTCGGGAAATGAGAACTATGAACTTGAATTAGGTCTAAAGTAACATCTTGGAGAAAGAAAGAGTTTATTGTAACGGTCTATCATCACCGGTACCCACAATTTTTCCGCGATTAATGTGGGGTTCGGACATTAATATCTATCGGGTTATTTTAGTTCCGGTTTTCTTATATTTCGGTTGTTTTTGTGACTGGAAACAGGTTTGCCGGATTAAAAAGAAAGTTTGTCTTCAGTAATTCGTATAATTATGTTATTTAGATAGGAAGTAGGGTTTTGCGGTTCGAATAGTGAATCGTAAAATGCGTAGTTTATGAAAAGGTCGCCGCTGTTAATTGTAATGTTAACAGTATTACTTATAATTTTTTTGAAATGCGTAAAATAATATTTTTGTTAGGGATTATGGACCGGGCACACTTGGGTTTTAAATTTTTAAGGCCTGTTTGCAAAACCGGTTCGGGCAAGTTCAAAATCGTTGTTTTGTGTTAAACGATATGCAGTATTTAATTATGCTCGCATGTTGATTTAGTTAGATGACTGCAGACCCGGAGTCCGTCGACCCTTAATTATCTGATTTTTGGCAGACAGCTTCTTACTTAAGAAAAGAAAAACAAAATAAAGGAAAAAGATTGGACCCAAAAACTGTCCAAAAAAAAAGCGATTAAAATTATAATCCAGGTGCTTTAATCTGTTTTAGACATCGTTGCCAGATCATCACATGGTTTTGTTTTTATTTACATTTTGTTTTATTTGTCGGTGTAGTGCTTAATAAAGCTCTTACGTCGTCTATGCCAGTTTTCACCATCCTCTCGTATATTTTTACGAACCCCTCAAATAAGATAGGTGACATTTAACGACATTTTGGTATTTAGCAGACTATACCTGACAGTACACGTTAGGGGTAAGTTTAGCAGCTACCTACGTCACGCGAAGTAATTTTTAGTAAAGTGGCGGTATAGGGGTGGTTAATGAAAATGGCCATTTTTCTGTGAATTTCTTATATGACTTAGATCAGTCTGAACTAACGATGGATATTGTTTTATTTAAATCCACCATTTAATCCGTAAGTTTATTAAAGCCATAAACAATCCTTTATATTTGATTATGAAACAATACTTAGGATATCCTTGTTTGTCGAGTTGTTGCAAGCAGAGACAGACATCTCAGGTTCTATGCGACTAAATATTATTTATTTTTCAGAATTTTGGGTTTATCGAAAATTTTGGTAATAATACGTAATGAAAACTTCTCAGTCTTTGCCTATAGACTCACTCTATTACATGGGACTCATAACTGAAAAGTAGTTGTTTCGTTGAGATCTCGCCTCCTAAAAATACACAGCCACGTGTTTTTTTTTTCTGTCTACACAAAGTGTTCGAACCGGAACAGTAACTACTTGTACATTATACAAATATTAGTTTTGTATATTTGAATTTACGCCTAATCATTTAAACATCGCGCTAACCACACTCGGTATACATTTCCATCAGAAAATAAAACCAGATACTAATTCTCAGTCATTTATTTGTATTATTTAAGGTAGAACTGTCTTAAACCTATGTTTGATTTACTAATATTATTGACTAATTTGTTCTTAATAATTTAATATGTCTGCCCTACATTTAATACATTCCATGTCCATTTGATCATGTCTGCTGCCTTTTCTCCGATCATCATAGCGGGAGCGTGTGTATGTGCGGATACAGTTCTTGGTAACACACTAGAATCAACTACTCGTAACCTGTTCACACCATGTACGCGTAACTCAGGGTCCACGACAGCTAAGGGATCTCCAACAGGACCCATGCGGCATGTAGCTATTTGGTGATGAAGGGTCGCTGTTAATGTACGCAATGCACACTCCCAGTACTCATCAGAATCGAAAATGTGCGTTCGACAATCTGGATAATCCGCTCTGTGTAACTTCGTTCCGTAACGCTGGAACGGTGGCGTGTTAGCCAGCGCCTGTATGTGACGAAATGATGCAACGAATGTTGCCACGTCTTTAGGATCTGTCAAATAATTGCCATACATTAGAGGATGACTGAATGGATTACTGTCCTTCAATTCAATACGACCTACAGATTTTGGATGCAGCAACATGGGAAAGGCACTCCATGTGTCCCGATTGAATTTTTCTAACTCATTGAAGGCACTATCAAACACGTCTTCTCTTATTCTCATTCCTTTTCTTACTGCTTTACTTCCTGAGCCACCATCTGAAGTCAAAGACCCTCCAATACTTATAAGTTCAATGTCAGGAACAGGGTCAGGGTCATCTGAAATTGGCGTCTTAATATATCCAATACCCTCCACTCCACCTGGTGAAGAAATTGTGGATTCTCCATGTCGGAGCCATGACACGGCTTCTCGAATATTCAAAGCTCGGGTTTCACTGAGACTTACTCCTGTCGTATTCAACTCAAATATTAATCCTGGGAAACAAATGTGGTCATATAGTGTTTGTCCGACTGGTAAGTCCTTTAACACAGGAATGCCAACTGATCTTAAATGATTCTGTGGGCCAATACCAGACAACATAAGAAGTTGAGGTGAGGCAATGGGTCCTGCCGAAAGAATGACTTCTTTTCGGGCTCTGACTGTAGACTTTATCCTGTTTCTTACATACTCCACACCGTAAGCCGTGAGTGTTTGCGGGTCAATCAATACTTTTGTTGCTCTGGTCTCAGGTAGTATATGTAAATTACGTCTCTTCTTTTGTTTGTGTAAAAATGCTTTAGCAGCACTGAATCTGTGGCCAAAACTTGTTGTGGTTTGCACGTATCCGAAACCCAATTCAAATGGTGAATTATAGTCTATAGTAGGATGTCCAAGAATTCTGCCGGCTGCTAGAAAAGTTTTGATTAATTTGGTCCTGAAATGAAAACACACAATTACAATTGATATGTCTGGTAATAAATGGTTGCATAAATAAAAAAATATACAGTATGTTTACTTTTTTGGCACATGTTCCACAGGGACTTCTCCATCCCGACTCCTAAAGGGACTTTTCTCTAATCCATCTAATGATGCTCTTTCAGACTTCATGTAATAATACAAAACGTCGTTGTATGACCTGAAAAAATACATTACGCACGTTTATTTTTATTATACAACTAAAATATAACAAACGCCTTCTGTTTGCAGCATAGCACAACGTCGATAAGTAATTTGATGGTAAGCTGATAAAAGGCTTCAGACAAATCCAAAATGTATGGAACGTGCAGTTAATAATCTATGTTCAAAAATTCAACAGCACGCGTTTTTAAACAGGGTTAATTGGTTGCAGGCATTTTAAGGACATGCCGATATTTATTCTTGAGGTTAAGATCAAACGTACAATTTTAATTAAAAGGTTTCGTGTTAGCTCATTTACGAGTATGTGCTGCATAGTGCTCGATAGATTTTAAATAAGTTTCTATTAAACTTTAGTTTAATATATGTATGTATTATTTTGCTTGTTTGTACTGATATGTGTATTAAATGAATTGGAAACAATATTTAAGTCTCTTCTTAAGAATTTGCCACAAAAACCTGCAAAGGTTTGGCTTATCCACAGCCAAAATGATACATTCTATTCTAGTGTACGTAGATATTACTCATCCCGTCATTAGTATTTTCTTATGCAAACATCAAAAGATCCGTCTGGCATAACATTGTAGTATCGATTAATATTAATGACCTGTTTGCCAGGAGCTGTTAGAAATAGATTAACTCTTATATGGTAATACGCAGCATTCATTATTGCAGCGATTTGTTCTATTTGAAAAATGGTTAAGTATAAGGTAGATAAAATTGCGACATGTGTTCTTAAAGAGACTTCCCGTTGTAACACGTGTTGTTCTGTATTAGGGTTGGATTATTGATAAATACCATCCATAATTGCCCGCAGCAGCGATGCGATCCCATTCTATAGGTCTGCCTCGAGTATATATCATGTAGTTAACGACACTCGTCCCGCCGACAGCCTTGCCTCGTGGCCAAAAACAGCGGCCGTTGATCATGCCTGGAATATGAGATTGATGAAAAATATTTGGCATGGTTCGACCTTCTGTTTATATTAGGAGCTTTGTTTTTTGAGCGACACGGAATATTTACTGATTTATTGAGGATTTTCTGCTTGCTAAGTCATACATTGCTTTATTGATAGATTCATTACAATTCAGGTGTATAAGAGTCAAGTTCAACGTACCGGTGCATACGCCTGGTTGATACTCCATATAATACTGCCACGTGTAATCAGTAGATTGGAAGTATGGTGCCAAAGCTGGTATGTCTGTGAGCAGCATCTCCGGTTTACCAGCTTCCAATAATAGCACTGTGACATTCTTGTCTTCTGTAAGTCTTGAAGCAAGCACCGAACCGGCTGACCCGGCTCCTACTATAACGTAGTCGTATTCGTCGTATGGAGATTTGAGACCTGAAACACAAAGTCCATAAACGTTTATTCAGTAAATCCATAAATAAAGAAATAGTAGAAACAGATATTGTTTTTGAAACAAAATCTGAAACAGTTTTTGACAGAAACTTGATAGTGGTAATGTCGAAAATCGATCTTAGTTCGAAGATTTGCGATTGAGACCAGTTATTAATTTCGGCTGATGATAATCTACATAGGGTACGCCTAATTATTACATCATTATCAGCCCAGCTCTTTTTGATTTTATCTTATAAATAGAGTTTCAATATTGAAAAATTTATTGAGTCTCCTTTGAAGAAAGAGAAAATCGTTTTCGACAGGTGACAATAAGGCTAAAGAAAGAAGAAAGAAAGAAAGAAAGAAAAATAATTTATTCGCCACCGACATGGACCACCGAATAACACACAAAATAATAAAAAAAAAAAAATAACATTGAAAAACAAAAATAAAGAAATAAAATAAAATAAAAAACAATAAGAACAAAACAATAATAACATACAAAAAACAGCAGTAAAAAATAAAACAACAATGAAGGCAAAAAACATAAAAAAGCAAAATAAAAAAAAATAAAAAAAAAACAGGGTGGCAGCATGTCCGCGACGAAAGGGCTCGCCAACTCAGTTTGAGCTGGGCACAGTAAGGGGTCACGACGCGATTATCTCCCAAGCCTGCCGCGGTTGCGGGCCTCGAGCATACAGAGAATACAGATATGTATCTAAAAGCTATTTTCACGGCGCGTTTTATATCCGCGGCGGTTGCGATTGTTTGCAGCTCCCGCTGCTCCAGCGTGCGAGGCCGCGGATTCGCTACCGCGGCGGCTAGCAACCGCATGCTCTGTGTTAGGTTGGCTGGCGATCGCAATGGGACGGCCCGGTTTAAACTCAATTCATTGTT